TAAGGAATTGAACTAAACATTTGAATAAAAATCTCCAGCACCCAAATAAAATGGTCTTTTCATTTTGAGTGTTGTACGTGGATAACATATGATTTCTGTTTTATATTAGTTCTGGTATAAATCAGCTACCTTCACTTCCATACCTCAATAAACAAACTCATCAGTCAAGCCATTACAAATTTTTTTCTAACCTTTCCAGTACTAGGGAAATGGATTCAATATATGGACAATGAAATGGAGGAAAAATGTCTTCTGATGATCTGTTCATCACAGTAACTAAAAATAAAATAGCATGGCATGGCCATAATAAATTACACAATACAGCATCATAGGTCAGTTCCTTACACATAGTAGCTAATGACTTAGTGGACCTATTCTTGTTCATATTAGATGAGGCTCCAGCCCTGTAGTGACTACATACCTGTTAAACATGGTAGCATGCTGTTTAAAAATAAATAACAACACTATAAGTATTTTTTAAATCATTTAATGGAACGTAAAACCACCTCATTCTTTTTCTTTCGTTCTGTTTTAGATTTCCTACTAATAAAGGTTAAATAAGCAATGGTGGTCCTGTGACAGTCCGGTAAAATCCATGAGAATTTTTTTCACAGATGAATGTGATTTTTTTTTGCTCATCAACTAATTGTTTTTCCTGCTTCACATACGTCTTTACATTTCCAGTCCAATTCTAGAAAGCTATATATTTAAACTGTTCAGAGGAACATTCAAATACTGTAGTGCTGACTTAAATAGAAGAGCTGAACCATTTAAAGTTTATCCATGACACACACATATTCACAATTACATTCTTATCCTACCAGAAGGAGATATTTCTTCAAACTACAAGTCTAAAATGAGATTTTGGAAGGCAACTAAAGGAGTTTAAATCTCCTTGAAATGTAATGGGATTTGAATACTAGGTCCTTTAAAATATTAGCCCTACTTCTAAACATCAGAAGCCTACTCATTGCTTTTCTAAAACCTCTTTTTCAGACCACTCGTCTTTCTTCCTTTTGCTGACCTTGCTAAATTAATACATGTGCTTAAACCTTTAGTTAAAGCCAGTTTGGAAAGAATTGTAATATTATTACCAAAGGAGAGTTGAATAGTCTTCTCAATAGCTAGTTGGTTAGGAAAGCCAAATAATAATTCTCAACCTCTAACCAGTTAGTGCAGGAAAGAAGTTTATAAGCTTGAATTGTTTCAGGAAATACAGTACAAATCTAATTATTAAATAAACAGTAATATAGTGCATTAATTGTGCACATTTACTATCAATACTCTGTTTATCTTAAATATATTTCTTATTGTTTTAAGTTAATTTTAGTAATAGTTGGATGGATTTCTTCTTCTCACATCACTGCTGCTTATTTGGCTGTTCAGCCACCACCTTCAAATTTGTATGCTATTTTACCAGGTTGGTCCTGTTATTCCTATTACATAAAGTTCTAATTGTTGTTGTATCCTGTAATGAAGTATTTGTTCATTAATGTCTAATGCCCAAGAGCATGTAAGCTGTTTATATTGCAGACAGAAAGAAAAGAAAAGACAGATTTTTTTAGACTATTAGATACACCCTAAAAGTTTTAACTTACAGGGAGTTTCCCTCCTGCCCCAATTCTCATTGCATCTATTTTTCTGGGGAGTTCCTCTCCCTTTATGTGAGGCTCTCACACTTGACCTGTGGATCCTTCAAGAACTGCACTAACAGCTAACAACAGCATTTGGAATCATCCCAATTTCATAAATTCGCTCAATTGTCAAGGATATCTTGGCAGAATATTCTTCACAGAAGGAGAATTAGTGTGAAACACAGCATATTTGGGTTTAGGATGGGAAAAAATACAGCCTACACTCATCTTTATTCATCTGAAACAACAAAGCTTAAAACTTGTGGAGTCTGCATGGAGGAGCTTAAATGCCCGAGTTATTTTCAAGATAGTGACTCCATTCACTTGTATTTTCCCATGAGGGTAGGGCAGGAGGAGACTTCAAGGATGTATCCTCCTGCTCTCACCCCCACCTGCTTGTAGCTGCCCAGCTCTTTCCCAGGGGAGTAGGTAGGGAAGGGTTAACAATTGTTGCTAGGCTGCTCCTCTTCTAGGGGCTGATCCCACTCAGAGACCAGCAGCAGCAGAGGCCAGGCAGGCAGTTAAACCCTTCCCTGCCTGTTCCCCAGGACAGACAGCACTGGCAGCCACAGTTAAGCTGTGGGAGGGGCAGGTAGTGAGTGGGAATCTGGAGTACTATGGAGGGCAGGGAGGGCAGTGGACCCAATTTGGGCCTTTAGGGGAGGGATGGTAGGTGGAGTGTTTTCACTAAGGTGTAGCCTAGAATGGCTATACCTTAGTGTAATACAAACAGGGCAGCATGGATTAGAGGTAATCCTCCCTTTAGGGCATGTCTATACATTCTATTAATGTGCCTTAAAAACTTCCTGCTCAGTAAAATAAGGTGCAGTAAGCTTTGCCTGGGAACACATGTGCACCCTGTTGGAAGCAGATTTGTACCTAAGGGGCACATCCACACATGCAGGCACGTGAGCTTACAGCAGCTCAAATAGAAGCAGTGCAAATTTGAGCCAGGGATTTTGCCTCAGCACATGTGCCTGGACATGCACTTAGGTGTGGGGCAGGTTGTGCCACCTGGGGCAAAATAAACCTGCCTGGGTCCTCCTGGATCTGAAGACAGAGGGAGCTAGGGCCAGGGGGCCAACACCTGTGCTGTCCACAGCAGTATAAAAAGCTGCCCTGTCCTGGCCCCATCAGTACAAAAAGCTGCCCTGGCAAGTAGCTCAAGGCTACTCGCTCTCAGGAGCTTCTGGGGCCAGCCAATTGGTACCTGGGGACACTACTCCTTGTGCCAGCTGGACTGCTGAAGCAGCCCTGAGAGTTCCCTGCACCCTCTACCCACTGCAGCAGTCTGGAAGTGGGGGCTGCTGCCTGGCTGTGACCTGCTGCACACCTGCCAGAACAAGATGGGGACTGCAGAGCCAGTAGAGGCATCTGCCCCTCTGAGCCAGTTGCCAGTTAGAGGATCTGCCCCTCTGGGCCAGTTGCCAGTTCACTGGCATTAGTGATAGGTAATCACTTACCTGTCATACTTCACCTATCACTAATGCAAACAAAACAGGTACAAATACAAAAAAAATATTAATTTATTTTCCCAGATGGATTATTTTCCCAGCTTCTTGGGGGGAGTGGGGGGGAGCAGAGGTAGGGGTTGGGTATGCATATGTATTTATGCTAGAGTTTGCCAGAATCAAGCACCAGATATATGTGACATGGAAGATAAATCGGAGCAACCTTCTATACATTTCCTTTCCAATATATCTCTATATGTTTTTTTTTCCCAAAAAGCCGTTTCACTTTTTGTGAAACTTTATTTTAATGAGTATCATTGCACTGAAAACATGAAAAAGAAGGAACATTTCCTTGTTTCCATCAGGAAACAATCTTTGTTCAAAAACAGGCTCATTTTCAATCTGAAATAGGGTGCGTGTGTGCAATCCCAAAAGTAGTATGAAAAATGTCAATTAGTTTTACATACTGAAACGAGTATTTCACAAGTCTCCAGCTAAACATAGGTATTATTTAAAATGCATTATACTTTAATCCTTTCTAAAATAATGCGTTACAAATATAAACGATAGCACATTTTAATTTAAAAGTCATTCAGTGACTTCTTTGTGAGTTTGCTAACTGGAAAGCTTTCTTGGTGATTTTTAGAGACAGCATACAAACCTGTCCTCAAAACTCCCTATAACCTCATGGGACCAGGATTTCATCCATTAAGATTAGCCTTCCAGGAGTCAGGTAGGACACATTTCTAAAATACTTACGCTAATGAACGGTTGAAGCAACTTGAGATTCAGTTCACTTCACCGTAAGGAGCTTCTACCTCAATTATTATCTGCAGCTTCCATGTTAATAATTTTCACTTGAATCAATCACATCTTTCAACAAAGAATTGTAAAGTAAAAGCAAAATTGATACACATAGATTAATTAACTTGCTCAAGGTAATATAACTGTATAAATATTTGTCTATAAAGAGGGAAAAGTGGACTACCTACAACTTTCACAACTTCCACTGTTATTAGATGTCAAATATTGGCAGTTATTAGTTTAAGTTAAGATCAACTACATGGAGCTCACCTTTTTGTGAGACTAAAATAAATTTTAATCCAGTCAATTCCCAGTTGTTTCTGGTTTGATAGATATTAACAAGCATTTGTCAGAACATTGTAGTCCCAAATGACTTAAGATAACTATTTGTGTTAGACATTTAGTATAATTGGCTATACTGTAGTTACCATAGCAATGCTGTTTCATGAACTAATATAGTATGGAGTTATTCAGCAGTTTCTAATATCAAGAGCTCTAAATAACTGAGCTTTAATCCTTTCTAAAATATGGCTGAAGCCATACAAAAAAAAAAAAAGATGGCCATGAGTCAGGACCTCCGTAATTGGAACCAACTGAGTGTCTGCCAGATCAGGAGGTTCATGTCTTCAAAGGCATCCAGATTCATAACTCAAATTGTACTCATTTAGTCAGGCAGCTAAATATTTTTGAGGAGTACAGTATTCAAAATTTATTGTACAAAACCATTGTTTTAATGCTTATATTATTTTCAACACGCTTGACCAGTTAAAAATACAACATTGTGTACTGTACATTGCTTTCTATTCAGGTATTTTAGGGTTCCTATACAACCCAACACCATTTTATCTAAGATCATCTTGGCAGCTCTAATAATTTATTTTTAGAGAGAACTAAAACATTTTAAAGCTGTTTAAAAAGTTTAAAAAACATACTTTTTTTTAATAAATGTATTTCTATTGAGTCTGGACCTCTTTGAATTCCATAATAACTTAAAGTTATCATTTAATACAAAAAGGTCTTAATATCTTTTTTTAGGAGGTACAAAATGGAAACTATAACCAGTTAATAGGATTACAAAAAGTAATTTTCACTCCCATCTTTTGATATTCTTTCAAGTATCTGAACATTGTCCTTGTATCCCTCCTTAATCAACTTTTCTTCTGACTAAACATACTTTATTTTCATCATACTGCTTGCATTCCATCATGTTGGTAATGTTTTCTGCTCACTTTGGGGATACTCTCCAGTATCTCTACTTCCTCCTTTCAGGATCATCCTTCTTAAAATATTGTGCTTAGATATAAGATGTCATGATGAAGGAACAGGACTCGATAACCATTGTCTAGAAGGTGCATATTGTTCTCATGGTCCATAAAATAAATCTATATTTGTTCTTTTTCTCCCCATAACAAGTAGGTTGAAAATAGGAAGTAAAGCACTTAAATACCCCTTTTTTTTTTAAAAGGTGTTCAAGGCAAACAGAGACAGAGAAAGTTTTCTAAATGAAGCTGTGAAAATACATGGTGCCCCTACAATTCCTTAGCAAATGGGGATTTCCTCTCCATTCATCATTTCCAGTCCTGGTGAATCCATGCACTCTATGGGTAGATTAAAGCCATCTCTTAGAGGCCTTGTACTCCTACATCAGCTTTGGTCCTCCATGCACACTGTAACAGAGTGGCCTCCTCATCGGGTCTCCACTGGCTGCCCTGGTCCTGGGGTAACCACCCACTTTGCTTTTCTGCCATGCCTTGATGAAAAAAATATTAGAGTTGTTACTAAGGTGGGAAGCTACCTCTTACTCGCCCTGCTGACAAGGGTCTTAATACCCACTCTGACTTCCCCTCCATGGGTTCCAAGGCCTCGCAGATGTTCATCTGTGTGTGTTACTTCTCCAGCCTATGGCCAGAGCAAATTGGGCACACAGTTGTATTTCTACTTGACAGCCCCAGAGAGCCACTCACATGCCACACCTCTCTCACCAGGGCCCCATTCACTCTGCTGGTTCTCACCCAGACTCTTTCATACTTCCCTGTCTCTCAGGGCAACACTTGTACCACCCAGCTTCACCCAGCTTTTGGCTTACCTCTCTACGCCTTGGTCAGCCCTAGTGCAGTCTGTTGGGGCTCTACCCTCTACCCTCACCTAGGAGTTGACTGAGCGATTCTACAACTGCTGGTCTATTTCACTCCTGGCCCCTCGCCAGGCCACTATACCCCAAACTGGGCCTCCTCATTTGCCTGCTCATGGGGGCACTCTAATCATCACCCCTCTCACTCAGGGTCTCTCTCACACCTCCAGGCTTTACCCTGTTGCCTTGGCATGGCACCAGGTCCCTTCTCTGGCCTGAGGTCTTCCTCAGGGTTCCTTAATGAGCCTGAGATCCCCCTCATTAGAACACCACCAGGGATGTAGGGCTGAGGCATGTGCTACTGGGACTGCAGCACACTGAGCCACGTCAGAGAAGCCCTGGCTGCCACAGGACCCCAGGGGTCAGCCTACCAGGCTGGGGCTGCTCCCCACCAGCTCAACATGCTGTGGAGGGGCTGGTGAGGGTGCTCCAGTGCAGATCTAGCCAACAGGCAGCCTTCACAACGAAGCACCCTCATGTCCCAGCCCTCTAGCCCTGCCATGTGCCACTGTGGCCACTGGGGAAAGCGCCAATCTCTGGCTACATGGCTGTCAGAACTTGGCAGCCATATTGAAGTCAGACCCAGCTACCAGCACTTGGCAGCCATCTTGGAAACTCTGATCCTTGACCAGCTGTTTCCCTGCCCAGAAGCCATGGTCCCAGCACAGGAGCAGCACAAGGAAGCTCCCTCCTTGCCCACCCTGTTTCCCCATGCCAGGGCTACTCCAGCCCCCGTCTCTTCCCCTGTCCCTGCCAGCAACAACCAAGCTCCTGCTGGCCATGGTGCTGGCCCTTCTGCCCCGCCCCCTACTGTCCAGGCTCCAGGACAGCCATGCATTTGTCAGTAGGGCGCAGGGCACAGGGTGCAGGAGGCCCTGCCCAACCCCCTCCTCCTGCACATCCTGCTCCAGCACCACTCTCAAGACATTACCATCTCAACCCCCACCCTATCCAACCCCCCTCAAAACATAAAGCCCTGTCCCCAACACATAGTGCCTCCCCACCCATCAACAGTAAAAAACAAACAAACAAAAAAACCCCTTTCAAGTGTGTCACCTATTTACAAAATTCTCAGCCTTTTGGCCCCCGGGGCGGGGGGGGGGGGGC